AATACTTAGATAAAACGAATCAAAGTTTAGGAGTGGGGGCTAAAACGTCATTTCTACGTATAAAATGTACATAGAAGTGACGTCACGCGACATTTCAAATCAATTAATCATCGAAAGTATTCGTTTCTGTAAGAAAATAAAAAATACGTGTCTAATGATTTAAAATAATCTACCAGACGGACATTAAAATAAAAATTAGTCGTCTACCCTATTAAAGTAACTATCACGATTTGAACTTTGTGACAAACAAAATTCACAATTTTCAGTAGATATACTTACAGTAGCGAGATGTTCGAGGAAGGGCAGTAGCTTGAGCAGTTCGTTGTCGCTGCGGTCCACGAACCAACTGTCGATCGGGATACCGTTCTCGAGCTGGTAGCCGAACGCCTGCAGAGAGAAATAACAAGAATAAAGAATAATTTCTATAGCTATCAACATATTATTAGGATAAGGGTTAGGAATAATAGAACACAACCCAATAGGGATGATGACAGGGGACGCGCGATATCGCCTGATATGGTAAGTAATAAGTGTAAAGTAGTAAATAAATTATTTTTTTTAACCGTATAATGTTTTCGCTTGTTCTGTAAAATTATGCTCGTGTTTATAAAATAAATGAATGATCTGTCGCCGATACATGTGGCAAATTTGTCCCTTAATGTATCGTTGGCTTAAAACTATCTCTTTCATAATCATTACAATATTAGCCGCTTTCGATATCATTCAAAGCTGCCCGAAGCAAAGTGAATTAGAAGTGACCTGCCTTCAGCAGTTTAGAACAGTGTGAAATAGCTGTATGTAGTCAGTGTATGTACCTGTGGGCTGTTGTCGACGATGACAGTCTTGCGCAGGTCGCGGCCGAGGATGGAGAGATCCTTCACGTAGTTACCGTTCACCAGCAGGCAGTGCTCGCGGAATAGTCTGCGGGAGGACAAAGTCAAGTGTTTTATACTACTTATACAATTTTAATTTGTACTCCTCACAGACGGTATGCAGAACTGCATATATTGTATTGTAAGTGGTAATTAAACTGTCAAACACCGCGAAGACACCGGTGTCCGCACACCCATTGTTCTATAATTATATATTGTTCTATATATTGTTGTTTAATAGTGTCTATATTGACGGTACTCAAAGGGTTTATTCTATTTCTTAGCCATTAGAAGGTGGCACTAGCTCCGTTGAAACCTATGATCTAACTAAATTATAGACTTAGCCCCATAAGATATTCTCCAGTGTCATTGGTATAGTACCGGCCAAACACATCACGCAGTGCAGGCTAGATGACGTTATGACCATAACACTACAAATAAAAAACCACTAGGAAAATTATACTCTGTCTCAACTCAAGTATACAGATCACAGCTAGAACTTAAGACCTTTTTATTTATTTATTTAATTAATATGCTTCATGCACAAAGTGGACTTAATTTCGCAGGCAATTTCTCCCAGTCTGACCTTTGGGTGATGCAGAGCAGAGTAACTGGTAGGTGCAAGAGGCATGCAATGATTTTTATTTATTTAGCACTTTTTGTACAAGTGTATACAATGGCGGAGTTAATGCCGAATGGCATTCTCTACCAGCCAACCATAAGGTGATGCAGAGAAGTGTTACAGTAGGTTTTAAACGAAGTTTGCATCTATTGAAAAAAAAAAAACGAGGGTGATAAATGTACGTATATATAAAGGTATCCCAGTACATAAACTACATACCAATACTACACACTAATATGAAACATAAATATAATATGTAAATAATTATGCAACGGCTTATCACGCAACTGTTTGACGAGGAACTCGACTAGTTTCAAGTCATGCTAAAGGCTCACATTCATGAGCAGCATTCCGCGACCAGCGACGCGGCGACTGTCGCGCTGCTACTTAGTCGAATTCCACGTCAAATCATTACGTAAGTTTCACGACGAAAGTTTTTTAATATAAAAATCTTTTTCATTTCACAAAGAATTATTAATGAGAGAACTATACTTAAGCGATATTAAAAATTTCTTGCCTCTCAGCTTTCCGGTATTCAGGCACCATATCAAGATATTAAGTATATAAAGCTGAAGAGTTTATCTGTTCGTTTGAACGCGCTAATCTCCGTAACTACAAATCTGATTTGAATAATTCTTTTTGTGTTGGATAACACATTCATCGAGGATGGCTATAGGCTGTAATACATCACGCTACGACCAATACGAGCTGAGCAGAGCGTGTGAAACCGCGCGGAAGTAGCTAGTATTAAGATAAACGTAACGCAATGTTACCTGTATTTAATCCACCGCCGCGACGGGTCGAGCAGGTTGAGCAGTCTGTCGGCATAGACTCGCTTGCTGGCAGTGAACAATATCACCTCGTACAGTCGCGACACGCGCGACAGGAACTCCGCGAAATGGGGGCGAGTGCGGACGAATACCTGCAGGGAAACAAATTTTATAATATTAATCATACATTAAACTGTCAAACACCAAGCGGTCACCGGTGACCGCAACCTATTGTTCTATAATAGTGTCTATAATGACGGTACTCGACGAGTTAATATTATAAATGTCAAAGTTTCTTTGTTTCGATGTTTGTCTGTCAAACTCTCTTATACAGATTTGGCTGATTTTTTTGTTGTGTTTGCTATTTTCAGAAGGTTCTTATGATAGAAAATAATCCTGAAAATCATATGGGAACGGGATAAAACTGGATTGCGCGTACAGTCGCGGGCAGAAGCTAGTTATTACCATAAAACTGGCACTGAAATTTTAATGATCCATTGATCAGACATCTCCCAGATAAATAATAAGTAACAATAACAAATATAACTCACAGTATATCGGCAGTCCTGGAACAGTACGGGGAAGTTGAAGCTGGCGTCGGGCAACTCCTGCAGCGAGCAGTGCACCAACGTCTCGTCCAGGTCGAGGACCTGTAGCAAACCAAACCAGGTCATCATTATAAAAGTTTCTGCGGTGTGTAGATGTCGCTACTGGCGATAATGGGCGTACCGGAACGCGAAAGTCAAAAGTCAAAATCAAAGCATTTATTTCAATTAAATCATAATTTGATACTTTTGAAACGTCAACGAATACAAAATAAATAATAGTCTGTCAGTCAGTGCGTCAGTGAAGTTAGGTGCTCATTCCAAAATACAGATTCGAATGGAGAAGAACGAGCAAGAAACTCCATAAAGAAAATGGGCGCTTATACTAATAATTTTAAAAATACGTGATGCGCTACACTGCACAGTGCAATGTGAGTCGCTGAGTGCTGTCCCTGGCGTGGTTCGAAACTAATCGAGTTCATTGTCAAACAGTTACGTGTGTAAATCGAAATATATTCGCATGTAATAATTTAAAAGATATATAATTGTTGGAGACATATTATAATCGATTTATTATAAATCTATGAAGGTTTTTAAGTTTTCTAATATAATATACTTATTACTTACCACCACAATGGTTTTAAAAAAAATCTCAGTAGTAGCACGGAGTTTGGAATATAACCATTATATTTTTTTTGAACTGATTTTCTCCTGTGTCGTGTGTGCGTTGACAAACATACAAGTTCACATACACATCACACCCAGACCAGGAACAATTTGTGGATCACACAAAGAGTTACTTCGTGCGGGAATCGAACCCGTGAACCGTGACACATTACGCGGCAGTCGGTTGCCCAGCCACCGCACTAACCGTGTTGTCAATATAGCAATAGTCTCATCACCCCCTTATATATGGGACTCATAACATAAAGAGTGAAAAGTAGGTGTTTCATTGTACAGTAGCATTAAGTGCCGTAATGTACATCTCTGCCTACCCCGTCGGGGCTAAAGGGTGTGATGTTATGGTATGTTACTTACAAGACTGAAATCGGGGCTAGTTCTAGTTTTGAGTGGCAGGGCGGGGTACCGCGCCCGTAGAGCTCCGGTCGCCACCGTCTCCAATGGCGGCAGCTGTAATAAGATACATTATTATACAAATATAGAAAAATAATATTTGACACAATATTATAACTCGTATTCGCATGATTCCCAGGCCGCAAACTAGTATTCAGTTTAGATTTTAGAAAATAGCTAGTTCGAATGCTGTCTATTATTTGAGACTTACAACTGGCATAAAGAGGTACTTTTAATTCAAGTGTGGGAGAGCCATGCTTCGGCACTGCTGGGTCGGCTCGACTGGAGTGATACCACCAACGAGCAGGAAACCATAGTGAAATAATACTTGCGTTGAGTTTTGTCGTGTGAGTGAGGTTAGCGGAGGCCCAATTACCCCCCAGTCTCCCCAATCCCCGAATCACCAACAATCCTCAAATTCCCAAAAGGCCGGTAATGCAGTTGTAACGCCTCTAGTGTTTCAGGTGTTCATGGACGCCGATTGCTTATCATCAGGTGATCCGTCTGCTTCTCTACCGGCTTATCCTATATAAAAAATAAAGGTGCCTCCTGCCTACATTCTCTCCCTTCAGGGAATAAAGAGTACAATGATGTTCTGTCCTAAAATCTGACTTTTCTATATCGAGAGAGTTACATAAATTCACTTTACGTCGACACTTGAAACCTTTCAAATGTAATCCTAAACTTTAGTGATTCTTTAATTAATTTTATCCAAAATCAATACGTTCTAGAGAACAGTCTATAAATCTATCTACTATATATTCTATACTAGCGACCCGCCCGGCTTCGCACGGGTGCAATATGCATGTATTATACATATAAACCTTCCTTAAGAATCACTACCTATTAAAGAAAACCGCAAAAATCCGTTGCGTAGTTTTAAAGATCTAAACAAACATAGGGACAGACAGACAGCGGATAGTGACTTTGTTTTATACTATGTAGTTATTTGGTTACTGTTACGAAGCTCCCTAACATCCCTACTTTGATTAACCCAGCAATGCTGAAGTATGACATGAAAATATGTTTGAATTGGACTCACCTGTTTTATAAAAAGGTACGGGTCGAAGGCGTCCCAGGTGGACATCTGCTCGCAATCCACGCGGTTGCTGCACGACGATATCACGTCGCCAGCTTCCTCCTTTAACAATAGCATTATCTATTACACAACTATACTAGATATCTGTCGTGTAGAGATGATAGAGTAGAAATATAGTCATCATCATCATCATCATCGACAGCCTATAAACGCCCACTGCTGAGCAAAGCCTCTTCTCACACGGAGAAGGTTTGAGCATTAATCATCACGCTTGCTCAATGCGGGTTGGCACTCAAATTTATAATTAGAAATTATATTATAAGCCCAGGTTTCCTCACGATGTTTTCCTTCACCGTTTATCAGTGGTGTCTAGATAATCTTAGAAAGTACTTATAACTCGGAAAATGTCACATTGGTACTTGTCAGCTCTTGTCAGCAAAAGAGGTCTGCTCAGCAATGGGTATTTATAGGCTGTTGATGTGATGTATGTACAGCAGAAGTCATTTGCCACCACCCTGTTGTTCCAGCGGGTGTAGAAAGACGACTAAGGGATACATTATTATGTTTACAATCACTGTCAAACGTGAGAAATTTTGGCAGTCTCTTATGCAGAGGAGTTCCATAGACCAACAATGGGCTGTCAGGACCTTATATGCTTAAGCTTACTCTGAAAAACATCCTTTCATGCAAGAGTCGAACCTACGCCGCCTTTGTACAGTGCATCATGTTTGTAATGTGTATGTGAGACTGACCTCTATGTCTGTCGGTGACTGCTCGTCGTGGCAGGCAAGCGCGGGATCGTCCGCCGAGATGTCCGTCCCGTTCTATACATAGTAAGAAACATTTTAGTTAAATAAAAGACACAATTGACAATTTTACACACAACTTGGAACTAAATGTAAGTGAAATGTTAGGATTGGCCAAAGTAATGTTCTATATAAGGGAATTGGGATGATGACAGGGTATGAAAATTAAAAATCTAATTAGTCCGTAAGTTAGGTAATGAAAAAATATTAGACACGTATTTTTTATTTTGTCGTATACTAAAACAATACTTAGATAAAACGAATCAAAGTTTAGGAGTTGGGGCTAAAACGAAATATCTACGTATAAAATGTACATAGAAGTGACGTCACGCGACATTTCAAATCGATATATCGTCGAAAGTATTCGTTTCAGTAAGAAAATAAAAAATACGTGTGTAATGATTTAAAATAATCTACCAGACGGACATTAAAATAAAAATTAGGCATATACCCTATTGTCACAAAATACAATATTCTAGTTCAAAAGAGGACTATCACGGTAAATGGGTGTCGCGGTTTCGAGTCCAGTTGTTTCAACTTCTAGAAACTCTCTAGAACCTTGCTACCCTGTTCAAAAGTCAACAGTGAATCCAAAGATGTGAAGACATGTGATTAACTTAAATATGAAATTAGACTAGTAGAATGCATTTATGTCAGCTTGGATATGTCATGCTCACTCAAAGGTCTCATTGGCGGTGGCACGTGCATTGGATCGCTCGATTCCCTACAATATGGTCGAGTTGGGCGGTGCTGGTGTACGTGTCATGTTCGTGAACTGACGCCGTCAACTGGGACTGGTCAGCTCCAGACTGTATTATTTATAGTTCTTAGATTTATTTTCTTTTTCGATCTCTTTGACTGGATTTTGTTGTTACATTGTTCTCGCACAATCGAACCAATAAAACTATGTAACTAGAGAATTGTATTGCGAACCTGATTTGAAAAAAGAGTAACCTATGGAGTTTCTTGCTCGTTCTTCCGCATATGAATCTACACCTTGGAATGAGCAAATGCCATCACTTTATTTTTTTTTTGTTCACGTTTAAAAGTGCCTGGTCTAATTGAAATAAATGATTTTGACTTTGACTTTGACAGTTTTCGCTATTAAACAGATGGGTAAAGAAAGAGCAGTCATACATACCCATCCAGCAGCCTCAGCCGCCAAGCTCTGGCTGATCTCCGCCAGGAACCCTGAGCTGGGGCTCCTCGCAGACAGTGCCTCTAAGCTCTCTATAGCGGTGCCCTGTGTGTCACAGGTTGAAGATATCTCGCACTCAGAGTCTCTGACGTAGCCGTCCTGCTCTAGCATCGTTACGAAGTCCGGCTGTGTGAGAGAGATGGCATGACTTAGTTATAAAATTTACATTTTATTTGTATTGTAACTTGCGTGAGACAAACTAAATTAATTAACTATTACGTTTCTGGGTTTACTTACGTAAAGGTGACGAGGAACTCGACTAGTTTGAAGCGTCGCGGAATTCTGCTCATAAATATGAGCCCCTATCGTGGCTCGAAACTAGTCGTTCCTCGTAAAACAGTTACGTAAATCAAAAAACATAATAATAATTCATTTGTAATATTTTATGTCGAAAAAGAGAATCTGGTTCTATTTGTGGTAAGGACAAAAAAAGGATTATTGAATTTTCCATGTTCGGAAACGTGGTAATAAATTCGCCCCTTCATTACATATGTGTAATATCTTAACTTGTAGAAATTCTGAGTATGCCTAGAAGCATACTAAACTAACCGAACCTTTGGGATAGTTTTGCCGGTATCGCACTTGTAACGCCTCTGGTGTTCCAGGTGTCCATGGGCGACGCCGATTACTTACCATCAGGTGATCCGTTTGCTCGTTTACCGGCTTATCCCAGAAAAAAGTAAAGGTCGCAAGTGCGACTGCCAGGCAAGAGTCTCGGGTTCGATTCCCGGGTCGGGAAAAGTACTACCACTTGGGTTTTAAAAAAACTCTCAGTGGTAGCACGGAGTCTGGAATTGTACCCGGTATATGGCAATAGGCTCACCACCATTACATGGGACTCATAACATAAATAGTGAAAAGTGGGTTTTCCATTGTACATTAGCGTTAAGTGCCGTAATGTGCACCTCTGCCTACCCCTTCAGGGATAAAAGGCGTGATGTTATGTTATGTAAAAAGTAAAAGATGTAACTTTATAATGATAGAATAATCTCACCTGCACATATTTCTCTCCATTAGTCAAGAAGTCGGGACAATTATCCAAATCGTCAGTAGTGGACGTAGGCTGGTACATCTCCAAGTCATTGCTGGACTTCCTGCGTTTCATCACTCGCTTGTCCACTGAGTTAGTCCTTGATGTCCTCTCCTCAGCCTTCTCCGTAGTCATCACTCTAGCCGCCTTGTCCGCAAGGAAGTTAATATCCTCCTCTGTAGCTGGCAACTCTTCATTTATCAAGCTAGCACAGTCCGTAATAGCCATGAAATCATTCAAGCAATCATTTGGAAGACATAACTCTGACGATTCTACGTGCCCATCCGAATCAGATTCCTCTGATTTCTGCGTTGGAAAGTCCACAAAAGTAGTTGTATGAGCCTCGTACATGGTCACATCATTATCTTCAGAGTAACAGTTGGACTCTGGCACTACAGGCACCTTCTTAGTCTTCTTTTTCGGACTCTCATTCGTAGAACTCACTGAGGATTTTGTTACTTTAGGAGTAATCAGACCAATTTGACGGACCTTCCTAATTGGAGAGCTATTTAATGAAGCTGATTTGTCCGTTTTATCCATACGCCTCGTCTTGCGAGGAGAACTCATTGCTGAAGATATAGTTTCAGTCTTTTTAAGCTCTCGGTTCAACGAACTATGTCTTAATTGTACACTCTTTGTTGTACGGACCTCTTTGGTCTTTGAAGTAGTAGTGATCTTATCATTCTGTGGCTTTCCTTTCACTGCAGTAGACGAGGACACAGGATCTTTTGTAGAACTCCGTACTACAGTCTGAAAGATTGGTTTCTTTGTGCGGTTATCGTCTTTGTGCTTGGCCTTCTTGTGCATAGTCTCGGATGGTTTCTCCATGTTCAACTTGATTCTGACGGGACGAGTTTTTAGTTTCTGAGACCGAGTGATGCAGAGTTGCGGTGTCTCAGACACCACATTTTTCACCTCACGCTTGAGGATAGCCTTCCAAGCGTTTGGTGGCTTGGTGACAGGCTTGACTGGCTTCTTGAGGCTTGTTACCTTTGTACTCCGTTTACCTGAGAGCGGCCGCTCCCTCTTCCTACTTCTTAACCGCATCGCAAGATTCGAGGGGGACTGAACCTAGGGAAGAAACTGACAGTCAAGCAAGATAGTTGTGCAATTCTAGCAGAGACGATAGGTGAATTTATTTTTACATTTGTAACAGTTGTAAATTATCTTTTTGTATCTTTTATGCATTGTTGACTTCATTGTGATTCAAGATGTATTTATATTTTTTGTGCAATGAAAACATCTATGACCATGTTAAATTGAAGTACTTATTGAACAAATGAAATGAACTTCAATAGCATCTAGCATAACTAAGTATGTCCTAATGAAATGTCTATAACTGTTATAATGATTAACTTTTTTCTAAAATGTACTGTACCTACATATTAAGGTAAAATAGTGGATGCCATAGAACCACCTATAATTTATAACTGTAATGAAATGAAAAACAACCTTGTGTTGAATGTAATGAACTAATTAAATAATTTCATGGTCTAGTAAAATTACCTATTGGATCTAATAGTACAGCTGTCAATTTACCATTTTCTAAGGATAAGATGAAGACTATAGTTTTTTATTTACTTTAATTGATTACTTTTTGGTCCTAAATTATCTAAAGCAATAGGCACCTGATAAGGAGTACATTATATTAGATTCTGAGTAATAAAAAACCCTAAAATAATAATATTTAGAACTCATTAAGTTAGGCAACTTGTACAAACTTTTAAGCCCCCAGGAATAAAGTTCCAGTCAAAACCTTCTTGGTTTGTGTACAAGTAAAAATAAAAAAGTACTGTAAATATTGCAAAAAATGTCAACAAATGATTTGTTTACATTTTTCTGTCAAAATAACATTGACATTGTTATCTGTGCCATTGACATGGATAAAAATATTTGGGCAGACATTATTTTTACAGGTGTTACATGTCTTAGAGTACGTAATCATTATTTTAACAAAAGAACGAAAGTAAAATGTGACACAAAAATAGGTTGCTCAGAATATTCTATACTTACATGAACTTAATTTTTAGAAAGTTTATTTACTCCATATCCCGTACGTTTAGCATGAGCAGAAAATTAATTAAAACAGCTCAAGTGGATAGACATAGCCCACTGGAAGAGTCCCTTTGTTTTAATTTATTTTATTTCTTTTACTTCCGTGGTCAATCGGCGCGATACACTTCGCGCCTTTTTCCAACTACACTTTTCACCACATTTCACTATCAGATTCTAATTACAACACAATTAAAAAGCTTCATGATGAATGTAAGTGCCATTTAAAACAACTATAATGAATAAACTATTAATATAACATGAACATTTGCAATGCGAAAGTAAAAAAGCGGCACTGGTACATTATCGATTTTTTCACAGCTTGACGCATGCGATTCCCAGTGATGCGTTGGATTTTATTCACTAAAATTATCAGTGAAATAGTTCAATCGCGGAAATATATTGAATAATAACACGTAACGAGTAATTACATGATAACTTTAATTGTAGAACACAAAAGCCAAACAAATGTCAAAATGGCGGCGTTTCTTTTTTACTACGACGTTTTTCTGCAGATGGCGCCGTGGCGCTGCGCGCATGCGTTTTGCAACTGCTCTGAAAAGTCGATACCACAGCTGATACGGGGTAGAACATGTAAGAATAAACCACGAATAAACACTCATGTATCTTTGAGATAAAATTAATTTGACTTCGCTGCATTTGGATGAATTTTTAAATTATTAATATTGAATTCTATTATTTTTTCGTTCCGATAGTCAAATAACGAACTCGCAGTAAAGGCTTTGAGTACCTGCAATGTAACGTTACATTTGTGTTTATCAATTTTCGTTAAAAGTCTTGTTAATGAAGCCCTAAATAGCTAATAGGAGAAAAATAATAAATAATAGGAGAGGCCAGTTTCCTATTATCCACAATCCAAAAGGTGACTAAGCTCCTATTGCACCTGGTTTTTAAACGAATATATTCTCTCTATAGAATATATTTCTCTCCTATCACATCTCTGTATATCCCTCAGAAATGAATAGGCGTAAAGTTGTGTTTGTAGAAAACTAATTATAGGAATCTTTCCAATGGTGACAAAAGAGGTGATTAAGCGTGAAATATTTTTGATATGAAAGAAAAAAAAAATCGCAAAGGAGGATTGAGAGTGGATTGATTTTCTATATAATTCGAGGGTGGAAAAATATACATAATTACTTTCCCCACCCTAAGTAACCAAAATAAGGAAGAAAGAAGAAGAAAGAACAAGAAAAAAAAACAATATTATCCATGCCCTAGTACCTAATGAAAATTCTGCGTGAACAGAAACGAAGTGTAATTGTCATATTTTAGTAATACCCTATGAAAACTGTTTCCAATAGTAATTGGAAACTAAATGAAGTAGGAGTGTTGAAGAGTTTATTATTTTATTTAACGGAAAACTTAATGAAAAAAATAACGGAAATCGGTTAATGCCCAGAATCTGCTCTTTATTTTTTGTTACTATCTAAATTAATCAAATCACTGATATACAATTAAAGGTAATACTACCTTTGTAGTGATTAATAGTGTAGTGTTTTTTTTTTTTTTTTTTTTTTTTTTAATTAATAAAAAATTGAATTTCTCCACGGACTCGTGTCCGTGCCCTTGTCATATTACAAGTACATACTTTCTATGGTCAAATTTTTTTTTTTTTTATAAAGATCTTACATGCTACGCCTACCACTGTACTACACACAATACTTTATGTTGTTGCCTAATTATTATAGTCTTATTATCTTAGACTAACCCTACTGAATCAGCCCACCAGCACGATGAGCGAGCCGACCTGTTCCAGCAGAAGGCACCCGTTCACGGGTATGACGTGTAGGCCAGCAATCGGTCCGATCAACCATTTCGTAGGGAACGGAACGACCCAGCCCACAGCGCCACCGACTGTAGAACATTTACGAATGCATGACGTCCCCGCCCACGCGGCAGTAAGCTAATTGCAGTAGTGCTAGTGGTTTTTATTAGTCTTATTAATAAACTTATATTACTTTACATTAATTACATTTTTAATAAATAAAATTTTTTTTTTGCGAACACACCAAAACATGTATACAACAACTCTAATCCATGTTTTTTTTTTTTTTTCTATATCTGGACCTTTTCAGCAGTTGTGCGGCTTTACGAACCGTCCCCACCCAGAAGAGCGCTCACGACCAGCGCATCTCTATTTTTTATTGCCATTTTTAGGTTATAATCCAGGATTCCCTGCTCACCCTCACCCAGCGCCCGTCTGATTATTTTGCTGATTGCGTCATCATTTATGTCCGTGTAGTAGACACAACTGTCAGTGTGACGCGATATAGCTACCACGGCGTGAGGTACACTGTCGTGTATCCGCTGTTTCCTGTCCGTTGTGTTCACAATCACCACTGCCGCATACGACAGCCCCTGGGCCTCGTGTATTGTGAGTACTCGTGACCCCATACCCGATCCGTATCCCTGGTTTTTGAGGGATTCCTTTTCTACCTGAGTGTGTACCAGGTATAACGTGTTCGGGGGAGACTTCGGGATCCGCGCCCTTGAAAAACTTTTTAACTCAAGGGATCTCACTCTTGATTTAGACGAGTATATGCCACAATACACAATACCAAGAGCATATGCCACATCCATTGGGTTTCTGTGAGTGCAGAGAAGTTCCCGGGTCACGGCCACGATGTGTGCAGGGCGGGTGTATACGAGGGGGAAGAGGTTGTCGCGGTCAATAAAGGGAAGTTGATTCACGTCACCAATAAGTAGGACTTCTTTGGCCTGAGTTATTCGTGCAGCCATCACAATGGCCCCAAAGTGATTCATGAGAGCCTCATCTACCATGATTCGGTGGCAGCTCTCTTGTTCTTTTACTCCATTCACTAAAATGGACGCCATTGTTCGGACCTTAGATTTGACTAATCCCCCGATTCGGCAGGACAGTTTGCCTCTGAGGTCATTTGCCGCTTCTGTTGTTGTGGTGACAATTAAATCCCTTTCCGCTTCGAATTGGTTCATTATCCAAGTAGTTTTGCCGCATCCCGGTACACCGTTCGTCCAATGAAACATCGGAGTATCCCAGTCCCTAAAGACTACTCCGTCCGGCCCAGTTCCTGAGATGGATTTTGCCATTTCCAAGATCCCATCATCCAGCATAATCCTGGTACACCTGGCAACCACCACTAAGGAATCTTCGGGGGGTGTTTTAAATTTCACAACTCCGTGTTTTTCTGTCTCTTTCTCATCCAGAGACACAAATCCTGCGGTGGCGTTATAAGCTGCCATACTACGACTTATTGACGCACCTCTCAATACTTTCGATGTACTGTTGTCGTATATGACTGCTTCCGCAGCCTCGAGCCTGTCATCCAGTATCAGCTCGTTGCCCTGCAGGTAAGTCTGCAGGATCGCTTTGCACGTTCGCAAGTTGACTTGCTTTGTAGCTTCTATTACTGCGACAAACTCGAGGAAAGCGTTTATGAGATGGTCTCTGGGAGTATCTGCATGGCGGAGTTTCGGCGGACAGACGTGACCCATGGCGGCTCTTGTTGGCGATGACTTGGGTTGATTAGGTTGTACTTGAGCGACATGCCCTCCCCCGTGCGTGGATCCGGTCATACTTCTTCTGAAGGGTGAAGAAACGAGACCCACAGCTGTACATATAGCTGATGTTATTGCCCACATGCTGCTTCGTGAATCTCGTTCCCTATTTTGCCTTTCGATGTTGAGTTCATGTTTTTGCAGAGCGCTTTATAATAGTGTAGTGTTAGTGATTAAGACTTAAAAATGGTAGTTCGAATTATTCTATATTTGTAGTATTACTAATGTATTATGTATTCTTTTAAAGTTTTTTATGTCCTTAAAAATCAAATAACATAAATCTGTAAACTGTTAACATAGAAATGTTTGTTTTATTTTTCATTTTGTAGGGTCAGATTTGAATTTAGAAGATAGCAATACTACAACATTCGCCAACCGCCAAAAACGAGGAGTCGAAAGTTGTTCGTTGTTTGTTTGTTATTTTCCTTTGACTTTAAAGTTTTGTTTACGAACAAATTTTTGTGGCGAATAAGATAATAAACAATAACTAAACCTATTTATTAATTTTGTGTAACAATGTCAAGTGCTTCAGTAACTTCTTCAAAACGCGAGGTAACTTATTTTAATACTTTTGAAAACCTTTGTGACCTTATTGCAACAACATTTTATTATTAATCTTGTTTTAAACTTATTCCTAAGCTGAGAACTAGGATTTAGGGTATAACATTAAGTAATTCACTGCTTTAACATTTGTTTTTAACTAAGAAAGTCAATGCTTTTATAATGTAGGTACATACTTACCTTAGTTGTTGTATTTTATAAATTAACTCCATAAACAATATTTTTATTTTAATTTCAGGTAATTAAACTGTCAAACACCAAGTGGTCACCGGTGACCGCAACCTATTGTTCTATAATTGTGTCTACAAAACCGGTACTCGACGAGTTAAATGAACAAATCAAATCAATTATATTTGTGTTGCTTTTTATACCTTATTGTTAAATAAATACATAAGTTTCATTAATGAGAGTTGGTAACAACTAGTGAGGAACTACCTTCAAAGACATTACTAACATTTTTAAGCAATTTTTTATTTTATACATCTCAGCTGCACTAAAACCAATTAATGTGGCCGGTCATGTAAAAATTATTATTGTAAATTCTTCTTCTTTTTTTTCAGAAACAGAACATAGAGCTAGCTCAAGAAGTAGACTCAATGAAGGCAATGAACAGCAGTCTTAGAGCCTACTTGGAACATTTGAGGGTATTGAAAAAAAACTTGTTAACTATGAATGATAACTGCACACAACTGAAGAAAGTTAATGATGAAATTATTGAAATTGTTAATAATAAATAGCTATTTAAAGTAATTTAGGGGTAAATAAATAATTTAAGTTTCATGTCTTATGTCTTTTGATCGTCGAATAATAGGCAGAGTACAGCCTGCATAGGGAATAAGCCTATTACCATATACTATAATATTTAGGAGCGAAGAAACAGAATATTGTCATTCTATTGACAAGGATGTAACTTAAAAAAAATCTCAAAATCAAAATTGTTTACAGCAAAATGTTCTAATTTTAAAGATATCTAAATTGTCCTTTATATGATATCCGTTACTTAAACTGTCAAACACCAAGCGGTCACCGGTGACCGCAACCTATTGTTCTATAATTGTGTCTATAATGACGGTACTCGACGAGTTAATAATAAAATACTTGTATCAGAAACTATTTATCAAGATGGGATAAGCTGGTAAACGATCATACGGACCACCTAATGGTAAGCAATTGGCGCCGCCCATGGACACCTGGAACACCAAAGGCGTTACAAGTGTGTAACTGACCTTTTGAGATTTGGATTGTTGGGGATTGTTGGGGTTTCAAAGGAGGTGGAGAGAAATCATTTTCTTTTTTTTATGTTTCTTATTTTCTGTCAGTATGAGTTGTCACACAAGAGACAGTTAAGGCATTGGCTGCCAATAAAAAACTG